ACGAATTTCACTGTGCTTCTGGATGAACTTTCGAGGGTAGCCATTGGCAATTAACGTGTTGGTAATTAATTCTAGTTCATCGGCTAGACAATCGCTCGAACATATTCGTCTGGCGCGACTAAACAGGGTCCTTACAAGCGTTCGCTTGTGCCGCATTGGCGTAAAGCTGCTGAAATGCAGATACTGTCCCGACCATGTTGTTTTTCGATAGACAGACCGTTTTACCAGTCCGTCCTCCCTGCGGCTGATAAGAACATCCAAATATGGAAGACAGTTCTGTTGTTCGATTTCACAGGAAACCCTCAAATTGGCATGCGCAGAGTTAAAACGTGCCACTAGCTGTGCGATTTGAATTTCTGTCGAACTGAATACCAGGATGTCGTCAACGTAACGTTTGTAATAGGGTAACTGCGCTATTTCTTCGGATAGGCTTCGTTCTATCATTATCATAAAGAAATCCGCTAGTATGGGGCCCAGTGGGCTGCCCATGGCTACCCCATCAATTTGGCGATACGGTATGTTACGGAAGTGGAAATCGACATTCTCTGTGCAGAGAAGTAATGATTCTCTTAAGAATTCAACTGGAATCGGCAACGGACATTCGGAACTTTCTGCTAATTCGCAGATGTAGTCAACAGTCTGGTGTAGCGGCACGTTAGTGAACAAAGATTCCACATCTAAGGAACACATCACCTTATCGGACAAGTTCGTTTTATCGAGGTCTTCGACAAGCTCGAAGGAATCTTTGAGGCCACGTAGATTAAACTGAGCTTTTGCGGAGAAAGCACATTAATCAACCAGCGAGCTAATTTATGTTGGGGTAGGTTTGTCATCGAGAGGATCGGTCTGAGCGGCACTCCGCTCTTGTGCAATTTTGGAAGCCCATATAGCTGTGGCGTGGTTGATCCATTTGGCGTTAAATTGTTATAAGTAGCGCACGTTAATTGCCAATGGCTACCCTCGAAAGTTCATCCAGAAGCACAGTGAAATTCGTGAAATGAAAGTTGCTATACCTACCGTGCCTAAGAAAAAGGTATTCTTGGAGCTGCCTTTTAAGGGTGACATTGCTTCTTTGAGGACCAGGAGACGTCTGATTTCCGCCACAAAGAGCACTTTCTGCGCTGCCGAAGTTGTAATCCTCGACCGAACTCATAACCTACCGTTGCCTCCACTGAAGGAACCTCAGCCTATTGGCGCCAACTCCCACTGTGTATATCAATTTGTATGTAACTGCGGGGATAGTTACATAGGCAGAACCAATAGAACACTGAGTTCCCGAATTAAGGAGCATGTACCAAAATGGGTTCAGTGCGGACTTAGTCAGCAAGCAAGCCCAACTCAGATTACATGTGTACGCAGGCCGCCAGCATCTTCGATCGGCAGGCACTTATTGACATCGGGTCACCGAATTGAGGTCAACAAGTCGTTTCGAATCCTGCTTCGCCATACTAATTCCCGTCTCCTCCGGTTTGCCGAGGCTATTGCCATTAATCGGATTAAGCCAGCACTTTGTGTTCAGAAACAATTATCGGTCAGCCTCAGGCTGCCCTGGTTGTAGAACAAAGACACCCATTTTTTCTCTCCTTCGTTTGTATGTATGTCTGTACCCACAAACTCTTATATAAAATTACCGGTTATCGTTATCGGCACTGATGAGACGATATTTTCCTTGCCAAAATTAAACGTGGGCCTCTCAGACAAATTACCACGTCATTTGATTCCTGCTGGAGATATATGGATGACACCCTTACTATTTGTGATTCAAACGCTGAGGTAGCCCATCAGCTAGATCAAAGCAATAGTTCGCATTCGTCTTTGAAGTTCACATGCGAAATTGAAAGCGATAGAAAGCCATTCTGGACATACTGCTAAGTAGACGAGAGGATGTCTCACTGCAGAGAGGTGTCTATCGAAATTCTACTTGGATTGGCCAATATACACATTTTCGCAGTTTTGTACCGCCAAAGTACAAACGAAACTTATGTCACTGCTTGTATTATCTCGAGAACAAAACTCGTACTCCCGAAACTTTCGAAAGCGGAAAGGATTGCATCCTTAGGACGCTACAGGATAATAGTTCCCCCGATTCCTTCCTTCGGAGGCATCCTGTCATCCGTGACCGAGGAGAAACAACTATGATGGTACCGGCAAACGATGTTTACTTGTTCCTTTTACAGGAGATGTCGCTTTTTAATTAGTGAACAGGAGACTCCTAAATGAAATAGCCAAGTCGTTTCCAGCAGCCTACCTGCATGTTGTTGCAGAAACTACTCCGTTTATAAACCAACGTCGTAAGGATTGACTGCCGGTCATGTCCGCAACTTTTTTCTACGCAAATCTACTGGCAATTGTGAAGTAAGATACTTCGGACACAAGACCAGACGCTAGGCTAAACGGATAGTAGAACATTGGCCAGCAGTATTATGGAAGCGTACAGTTGGACATATTAACAAATCTATATCGGAACATTTAAAATCCAAAGCGGGCATCAAATTGTAACCACGGAAGCTCTTAAACTTATCTACGCCGCACCAAAACGTTACCTAAAAGGGCTTAATAAATAGATCCTTCTAACGACGGCCGAGACCATTGCAATCCAGCTAATACAACCGAAACTGCAAACATAGAATGCTAGTGCAGACGCTATATTTGCCCTGGCCCTGATCTCACCGTGAGCGCTGCTTAGTTCGATCTCAGGCGGTGACCCCGTGACCCCATGTACGTTACTAACTTCATCGATTGGAGAATCAGATTAACAGATAAGTCAGCCTGTTTAGACTGAATGAACCCTAGCCCAGCTATCCTAGTCTGTCGCAACTTTGACAATTTTTATATAAGTAGTAGCCTGAAAAGAATTATCGAAGATAAATTCCTTCGCTGATTTGAAAACTAGATTCTATTCTTGAATCTTTGCTGCAATTATTGAATAGCCTGTTCTGATGTTCTAAAATCGGATACTAGTCGCTTGCTCGCGAGTCGAGTGACTATTATCAGACAAACGGAACATTGTGAGCAGAACCACGGTTGGCACAAAACACGTGGACACTGCAGACCTGGAGCCAGTATGGACGAGGTAGTGGATAAGAGACGAGTAGGCACCTTGTCAACATGCACATCAAGCGCAGCCACACCGGGGATGTCAGGCAAAAGCCGATCACTTGAAATGACATTAGCAAATAAATTATATCTGTTAAAGCATACGGATGTGCCGACGTAACTCTTCGCTAAATTAGCATATGAAGTAAGTTGGTTAGCAACACACCCGCGATAAGTACAAAAGGTCCACAGGTTATACAAAAAGACGCCACAAACCTGACAACATTAACGAACATGACCACAACAAGCGCAAGCAACGAGTGCAAGTTAATAGAAGATTATTCAGGTTGGCAGAACAAAAAAAATAAAGTGGAATGAAGTTTATCCAGCTTAAAAATACCTAGTTTAAGCGTAAGTTGGTTTAGCCCAACTGCGGTGAAGAAGTATCGTGAATGCAACATCAGCCTCAGCAATGGGCACGCATATATATATATATATATATATATATATATATATATATATATATATATATATCAGCGCAGACTCCGTTCAACTGCAGAGCGAGGTAAAGAACGAAACGTAAGATGGCGCAACGATGGAAACCTCATCTCCCCGGCAACTAACTGACAGGCACAAGCGGTGATTCGCAAATCAAATAGACCTGATGTGCAAAAACTTAGTTGTCTTAGGGTTCACCTGGCAAGCATACAATGAAAACAAAGTGTTAAGAACAATCGTAGAAAACAGTAAGAATATTCATTTAACCTATCTTCTGTTGGCGTTGTTTTTAAAAGTGCAAACTAGAATGTTATTTCGGCATTGAATTCAATAAGAGAAACTTGTATCGGCTCTAATAACTCCAGAATAATCGTTAGCGTCTTTTCTGGAAGCGTGGTTGAAAAAATACTACATTAATTCCATAATTTAGATCATGTTTCAAAATAGTGTCCTTAAAGTGGCGGCAGGAAGAGTTAATTAGCTTGCATGGTTGAGGATTGAAAAATTTTAATAGTGTTAGCACGCAAACGAAGGAGCACAAGACATGGCAGTACACACTATACCAGGTGCTGTACATTAGATGCAGAGTATAGTACGGAAAACGGAGGTACTTTTGCGGTAGATGAGTGGGAAATTCTATCAAAACGACTCGTACACTATGTCTCCTATAGGACAAAGCAACGCAGAGCACGGATTTTGCGCCGAATTGCAGGAGCGAGCTAGCAAAAGGCGACACAGTCGCTTTAGTAGATACCCTCTCGACAAGGATCGACACGCCAAAGTCGGTTCCATAGTATGACGACTAATTAAAAGACAAATCATACCCATGTGCGGTTAGTAAGATGGGAAAGTGTTGAAGAGGTAAAACGACCAAATGCTGGGACGTAGTTGGCGGCGCAAAATAAGGGCTCGTTAGGCCTGCAAACAAGTTCGACTAACACAGTGAAGTCTCGCCCGCGTAGGTGGTTGCACCGATCACCCAGTAAGACGTGCAGGCGTCCTGAGCCGCGACATGTAAGAAAACTTTTCGGGGGTCAAACCATTAAGAGGTCCGGAGACGTCAAACCAGGCTGAATCAAAGTGTCAGCCAGGACAAAAGAGCAGCAGACATCAAACGTACTTGGCATACGGATGCGGAAGCGTACAGCCAAAATGTCGGTGTGATGGCATATGCTTGATTTATAAATATGACCATGAATAATTCTAATGGATAATCTCTGGTTTTCCTCGCCTGGGTTGGATGCGACACTAGGTAGTGAGCGAAAACAGGTCAGCGTTACGACAGAGAACCTTTGCGACCGGAAGATGTTTTCCACAAGTTGTAAAAAATAAATGCAGGGCAAATCTTCGGAGATGGACATCCAGAAATAAAAGAAGGGTGACGAACGCAGGAAAAAGATAAGATTCATTATAACTGTACCCCGTGATGGCATAAGTTGGGGGCGAAATGAAGTAGGATCGCGTACCATATCAGCAATAATTTTGGACGTCTCTTCTAGGGAGCTAGAAAGATCTTCCTCGTCAAAAGAATCATCCGAAGTATATGTTGTGATAGAGGGCATCTGTTTTCTACCTCGATCACACGTAGCGTCTTCAGCCATTGCATAACAATAAACGGCTGTAAGGAAAACAGGATGGTATCAAAACACATAAAAAAATACTAATAATAAAGACGTGCCAGTAGAAAGCAATATTAGTGTGAAAGCGATTCAAGTTCGGGTCCAAATGTGACCGAAACAATGGGACAATCTTTCAATGAACCAGCGGTTGAAACAGTGAGGCGCAGTCTTGATGAAATTTAAAAAAACACCATTGTTGCAAATTGATTAACCAAATGCTGTTCCGTATTTCGAGAAGAATGCGTGAAGAATGAGGAAAGGAGTGTCGTACAACAAGGGTTAAGTCGACACATGGCAAAGATAACAAAAAGGGACACTAAAGCTGAAGATAACGTCCATTTGAGAAATCGGTGTTGCCAATCAAGAGCATCGAGATGACTCTCGAAAAACCCAGGTGTTTAAAAGTGAGCCCCAATGTCCCAAAACTCGGAGCGATATACGCGTTCCTGTGCTAGTTTGGTCAAAGCAAGATTTACGTCACCGGGTGGTTGCAAAGACCACATAAATCAGCGGCACTAAATGATCCGTACAGACCCTGACCAGTCATCCCAGTCAGAGCCCGTTAAATAAAATGGATGGAATTTGTCGATAGTACGCCTCAGAAGAAACCATGGTTGTTTCCGTTTTGTTTTCGCATTCCTTCTATGATAATAGCAGCACCTTTGATTTCCATGGTTGAAAAGGCTACCTGTTTATTCAATCTACGAACTGATATGGTTCACGACATCTGGCTCCCGATTTGCCTCCATAGGACAGCCACAGGACGCCTGCACCTACAGAGGGACCCAAAGGTGGCTTGCGGCGCACTAGGCAATTCCACCTACACATCCCATATCCAGTATACACTCGAAGGAATAAGACCGGAGGATACGTGGATGAGATCCACGTTTCACCGAAGGAGCCAGCCCATACTGATTCAACATGCCCAGCAGCAGTATTCCTGTCTACATAATTTGGGAATCACGCGTACCAGACATACACAGGGCGATGACTGTGTCACACCACACTAGGTGGAACCACTATGAGTTTAGCATGACCACAAGGACTATGCACTTCGTTCCCCCCCCCAGCAACAATAAGCAGTATCCTGGAGCCAGTAATCGAGATGGGTGTTAGAAAGTTAGACACTTTGTTGACAATCACATCAAGCGCAGTCAGACCGGGGATATCAAACAATCAACATGGACTTTGAAAGAAAATAGGCACGCAAAAATTGACACGGAACATGCAGCAGAATAACAGAGCTAAGCACATCAAATAAAGTGGAATGCATTTTATCCAGATTAAAATCTAGTTTAGGTGTCGTCGTAGCTCAACTGCAGTGGCGAAACATGAGGCATGAAACATTAACCATAACAGAATATATATATATATATATATATATATATATATATATATATTGAAGGAGTGTGGGCCAGCTACGTTAAGGAAACGTGGCTCCCATCCAGATGCCTCTCAGTCTTATTCCACAGGGTTTACACAGGATATGGAGTGTACGGTGCAGTGCAGCGCAGGCTATGCATGGCCCTACTGTAGACGCAGGCTTCCTTTGGCTGTCCTGTGGAGGTAGCAGCAACAAGCAAGTCCAGAATCAGGAGCCGCCAACCACATATATGACAGCTACATAAACATGTATATTTAGCAGGCAGATGAATTAACATTGCCCGGATTACTTCTGAGCAACTAGGAACATCTATAATATGCAAAAGCTATAGGTCATCTGAAAACAATTGCGGCAAAACCCCAAGCCCCGTAGGCAAATCACTCACGATGATGGTGAACAGTAACGGCCCTACTCTCGGGACATGCTGGAAAGCACCAAGCACGGCTTTCCCAATGACGAAGCGGCGTCCCACGGGCACAAAGAGTTCACACCACTTCATAAATGCAGACACGAGAGCAAGATCACACCCAGACGTTCCGTAAGTCATCATTCATCATTACACACGTTAGCTAGAGGTAGAAAACACATCAGCTACCGTGCCGCAATACATAAAAGAGAAAAAGAAGAAAGCATTCAACAGATGCATGCCAACTGAGCTAACAGTAACGGATGGGCATCGTTCCGGAAAGCTACCAGCCGGCTACTATGCAGCAAAAAATTTATTATGATAACTTATATTATGCTAAGAAATGAGATCGTGGTTGAAGAGGGAGGCTAAGAGTGATAGGGAGGAACAAATAAGCTAACAGCATGAACCGACTTAAACGAGAAGTCGGTTCCTAGCCAAGTCAGCAAATGTAGCCAGTCGAGACACCCCAACCGAGACCAGTTTTGAAGTAAGGGCCTTCATTCCTCTCGACCAAACCATCGCTTGGCCATCCCTTCTCTCAAAAGATCCTAACTTTAATGGATGATAAGATCAGCCTCTAAAGCTTTCGAAAAGTCAGTGAACAGCAAGTTAAGCACGTGACTGCTGTCTATCGCACCAGCTCACCTCTCACGGACTACTAATAGTCAGAACCTTATGGAGCCCGTGATGTGCAATGTTGAGCAGAATAAAACTAGCCAAGCGATTTACCAGTGAATCACTAATTCTTGAAGGACTAAACTACTACGCTTGTCAAACTGATTTGCTTGAAGTTAGTAGACAAAGTGCTGTTACCATTCTGAAAAGGGGAGAGATGACAGCTTCTTTTCGGTCCGAAGGTTAGCGGCAACTTTAAGCGGTTCTGAAACACGCATGTAAGAGGGCTATCTAGATCAGTGACTAATTCTTGATCCGGAAGAGTAAAAGCGGGACCTGAAGTTCTGGAAGGATTTAGTCTTTCAGTGGTCAGAAAGCCTGGGTCGCTGTTAGGTAAATCTCGGCAAAGTTGAAAATACTTCAAGGTGTGAGGAAGTGGCCTCACCAGCAAAGGCACATAAGCCATATCATAGTCAGTATGCATATGGGTTCATCTACTCGCACTATTGCGTCCCCTAATGTATGCACGTAGCTTAAGGACAGTGATTATCAATGTCCAATGTAAAGTAAACGCATCGTACGATCCTTGGTGTGTCTACAAATTTCGTGTTTCGATACATACTTGTACAAACCTGAAGACGAATTATAGAAAACGTATGTTCGCCTGCACTGAGTTTTAGACCATTATGATTAGTTGAAGACTGTCAGGTACTCTTGTTCATACTGGAGCCGACCAGCCCTTAAAAATTGCTCACATCGATTTCTAGCGTCCCTACAGCTGCTATTAGTGTTAATTGGTAAGGCAGGCTCGGAAGGTTTGCTGATATCCAGACCGCTTCTTAAGCAGATATTTGTCCGTGAAATCTCTTCGCGTATGCAGCGCCTGTTTCTTCGTGTTGTTTTCGCTGACGTACAACACTTCGTAAGTGGAATATAAGGAGTGGGATCTTATGTAATTATTAAGTGCTTCTCAAACTAACTGGACAATCTTACATTCAAAACAAAAACTTGAGTTCGAATTGCTTCATAGGTCGATAGTCAAATATTTGGACACAACTCATACACAGCATATGCATAAATGATCGCTGCGACATAGGGATGCACCATGCGTACCGTCAAGGAAACCAATGAAAGCAAGATCCGAAGTACACTGCGAATGGGTGTCCATGTGCATAACAGGCGGGTTCGAGAGCTGATGCAACAGTAATTGTGGCATTACCCCAAGGTCTGCACCAAACGTTCCTTAAATTGAACAGTAAGAAAGACCAGGACTACAGATCAGAGGTTAGAAACCTTAGATACTAGACATAGAAGGAATACGAACAAAGTCAACAGCCAGCCTTAGGATACTTCTATGACTTCAACAAACTACGGTAATCGCAAAATAAGCACAGGAAAAACATGAAACAACCGATAGGAGTCAAGACATTACCCAACGGCCGAAGTGCGTAGGTCCTTAACTAATTTTACGACGTAAGCGTTAAACGGGGGCCTTGCCATAATATGATCACGTAAGTAACAATGTACGCCTTGCTGTCCAATTCGAAGCAGTAGTAAGTCAGGCAGATAAACTTCGCCGACAGTGATGTCCACGTCATCGCAATGGGGCTGGACCTTACCGCGTTGCGATGGTTTGTGTCCTCAGCGATCCGTTGAGCTATGCTGGGTGGTGCTTTTGAACCTCCAGTCACTCATACCAGATTGGTCATTGGTTAGAGAGCAGACAAACTTAGCCTCCTGGTCCTCAAGGTTCGGGGTTGGAATGAAGAAGGCTCCTTATTCCTTAAAACGGATTCGTTGTAGCCCAAAGCCAAACTCACTGCCTTACGGTAAGGTTTTCGAACCAAAGGCTTTAGCTGAGAACCATAATCGTTCTCATGTCTAGACCTGGGCAACCTGACAGTATCCTGCCCACGCAGTCCTATGAAATTTTCCTCAAACAACTCCTTGATGCTCTGGCCACCGCAGAGGATAATCAACGGTACCCTATCTGCTGCATCGAGCAGAGTGGATAGGGGTTTGGATGCTACTTTTCAAGCCTTCCCGTTTTCTTATTCCCCCCTCAAACATTTTTTTCACCCTTATCGTCCCGATCCAGTTTCACTTCTATCCCCCTGCTTTCAACCCCCGATTCTTGACCCTCCCCCAACATGATTTGCCAGGCAGTTATCTTCTAATTTCAACTTACATGTGAACGCGGTGTCATTCCTGACCTGCCAACAGACCCATGTCCAAGAAAGTGGTCAGGTCCAGCACATCGGCTTACATTTGGAGCCCTCGATCCTCCTTCAGATTGGCATGCCTCGATGTACGCACATTACTACAGATCGGTCAACATGCAGCACTTGTCCGAACATTGGAGACCCTCTCCATCGATATCTGCTGCTTATCGGAGACCCGCCTGCAAGACTCGAGCTCTGTGCTCACTCTGTGATCCCCTTCAGGTGACAGTAGCAGCACTTTCTCATTGCGCCTATCCGATGACGAAGCAGCTTCGAGCACCGGCCAAGCTGCTGTTGGCATTGCCTTGAGTCTCCGGACTGAAGCTGCTCTGGTGGATTGGATTTCAATCAG